AAAACAAAGCAAGCATAGGTGGACTCTTGGAAAAATAGATGGGTTTCCCTGGTAAATGGAATAAGCCCCATCTAAACCAGGAATCGAAGGACATGAAAACAAGGTCAAAGTCTGGCAAGGAAGATGTCAAGCGTCGATTGGGCTTCCCAAGTCTCTCGCTTGCCCGGCGTAGAGCAGAAACACTTGGGCCGCACTGCGCTCCTGCTTGCGCCCGAACCACTGGACCTCGGTGAATCTATGCCTTGATTGGCGTCAGGCCTATTTGGGTATGCGCATGTGCTTCACATTACCCTTCTCGCGGCAGGTGAAACAAAAGGAAAACCACTTTGGGGTCTCCAACTTGGCTGCCCGTTTTCTGGATTCCCCGTGGCTAAAATTGACTTAACATTTATTGAAAACTACCACTAAACCCTAAAAAGCTGAAAAGCTAAGGAACTGGATGGCTGGAAGCCACCAAGTTTTGTCACATACCATCACATGGGGTCTGGCGAAACGGGGGGGTGAGGGCGTGACCCATCTCCAGCATGCCGACTCCGCTCTCTGTGCCTAAAGCCCCGAGTGCCCGCGCCTCAAACGCGAAACACGTCGAGCAAAACTCGGAGTTTGAGCGCCACATGGAAACCATGGAATGGAAGCCCAAACAAGCTCCAGCGGCCATGGAGAACAAGGCCCTCTTTTCTGTGGTTCTTCATCTTGCAGAAGGCCCCTCCCAACAACAAACTTAACAAGTGCACCACCGCAGCTGTTCGCGCCTTGGGCGCGCGTGACCCGTGACCCCTTCTGCAAGCACAAGGCGCCAAGAAGGTGAAGACGTCATCCTGCCAATCGAAGTGCGTGGCGTGGGGGAAGACATGATCTTCCCAGTCGTTGGTGTCTTTGATGCCCACCATGGTAGTGGCGCCCCCGGGGTAGTAACCAATGCCTTGATGGTCATAGGCCTGGGGAGTTGTCTTTTTTTTTGTGAGTTGACTGTCCTGGAAAGCGCGACAAGAAGAAACTCAAGAGCAATATGTTGCACTTCTTGGAGTTTAACTGAATGCTCGAACCGTTTGCCTGAAGGGAGAAAGAACCAAAAAAAATCCACCTCCCACCCCTGTGCATGTGACTGAGCAAAATGCATTTGGTTCAGCCACCCACTAGCGAAGAAGGCCCCAAAGGCCACAAACTCGAAACGTCCCATTGGCGTGAGCCACGTGCAAAACCGTGATCAAGACACAGATTCCAAGGAAACCGAAGTACCAACCACTACGGCGGCGCAACCCTTGGTATGGTCACCAGCGAATTATTGCCCCAGACCCACTAAAATGAACCGAACCCCAGGATCAAAACGTGTTGTGTTGTCATGACATGACAATTGCAGTACGCGAAGTACCCGCAGCTGCAGCTCGAAAATCGCAGCTTTGTAGTACATGTGTGTGGTACGCAAAGTCCACTTCCGCATCTCCAGCTCGAAAGTCGCAACTTTGTAGTACAAGTGTGCTACAAGGACCTTTAGAACCACTCCCACATGCAAAGCTTCCGCCGCGCTTCCGCGGAGCTTCCGCGACTCGAACCCTACACAAACCGCGCAAAAAACAGGCGAACCTCATTCAAAAAAAACGCAGGGGCTTTAGCACGTATGCTGATTGTGAATTGTTGGTTGTTTGGTGTTTAAATGTTTAATTGTGATTTGGTGAATGCTGTGTGTTAAGCGGTAGCGGCCACTGTGAAGTGAGTATTGTGGTTTCTTGTTGTTTGTTTTAGATGCTTATGATGATTATTGTTTGTTTGTGATAGTTTATAGAGGTGGTCGCTTGCTCACGCAGCGTCTAGCATAAACATGGGTTGCGCAGTTGGCATTTAGTTCCTTTGGCATCTGAGGAGGTCGGGGCGGCACCTACAACTCGTAATCACCGTTCATTTAAACACCAAGCAACTAACAAACCCCAATCACCAAAAACACTTGAACAAGAAGCAAAAATGACTGTACGATGTTCGTGAATGACTCATATTATGCAAAACAGCTGCCCTTGCCGTTTGGAAAGCCAAACTAACGAAGAAGTCCCAATACTCCCTTGTTCGATTGGAGGTGCGGCTGCGCTGGGGCGTCAAAGGCAAAGGCAAGTTGGCTTGTTGCAGGCGGCAAAACCTTGGAACTATTGAGGGACCCTTTTAGAAGTGCGGCAGCCCTCCCAATTGTGGTTTGTGCCGTGACCCGGAAACTTGCCGCAACACGCGGCAAAACAAACGTCCACCCTCAAAGCTAGAACTTACATCTGTACTTCCATCATCACTATGAGGAAAAAGACGTAACATGGGTAAAGACGTAAAAAAAACAGTTACTTTCCCTTTGGTTTCCTTTTTGATTCACTCCCAAAACGGGTACCGACTCAAACCAGACACACCCAACTGGTACCGAACGTGGACCATACCGAGCTGCCGGATTAAAGTTTTGTCCGCAATGTGCAGCTGAGGAGGTAAAGGCAGTGTTCTGGCCCCAAATCCCCTCGCCCCCGACGTCATTCCTGACACATCCGCTACACAAGTTTGCTGCTTGCAAAACAACAGTAAAATGGAACATGAAGGAAATCCCAAGATAATATCAAGCAACAGCGGGGAACAAGTTAATTAGGCAAGCTAAGTCTGGCAATGATTCCAGGCGTTCTTCACAAAGAGAGGCTGCACGATGCCGCGAGTGCGATACCTTGCGAATGCATAGTTCAAAGGGGTCGCCCATTGAGAGGGGCTGGCTTGGTGAACTATGTCCATCTATTCCCTGGAGTTGATAGCAGAAGAATGGAACCAACAAAAGACATCCTTGGGGCTCCATCTCCATCTCCCATAAACCATCCAACCCCCCAAAAAGGGTCGGGAATTTCTCAGAGGGAAGCACACCATGAGGTCCCATTCTCAAGCAGTCGATTTGAGAAAATCAGACGGCAAAGGATCTGGAGATCCTCTTGGCCGTTTGTATGAAACCAGGCCAGCAAAGGAACACGGGTACAGTGAATGAAACTCGGTTGCTTGAAGCCGCACTGGCCCCAGATGTTGTGCATGCAGTAGTCGCAGCAGGTGTAGTGCGAGGTGGTCCCGCAAGTACTTCTGGTGCAGTTGGAATAAGCGGTGGCTCCAGAGAATGCGTTCAGCCGTGCCTTCACAACCCTTGGTATGGGCTTGCAACAAACTGACCGTTTTTGCAGCCCCCGAACCTAAAAATGAATAGAACCAAACAAAAAGCCAAAAATACAAACACGAAAGACACCAAACAAAACCCAACAAGCCAACCCCACCCCCCCAAAACAAAAACTTGATCCAAGAACCGTGAAGCTGCTGCTTGCACAGCTTCTGACATAAAGTAGTACGGGCGCTCAGGACCTGGACTGTGAGACTGGTGACAGTCGTCTTTGAAGGCGCCAGAGGTCCACCTTGCAGGGCCTGTAAACAACAAATACCCCCGGCTCGAAATGAATACCCACATGTTGTGCGTCTTTTTTTTGTTTAAGAAGAAGAATAACAAAACGAGAGAAAACCAGCGGGTGTCCCAGGACTTTTGGTCGGGGCTTCATGTCATTCCCCCCCCCCAAAAAAAAAGAATGGTCTTCTCTTCAGCTTGGTTTTTTGGGCTTCAAATGGACCATGGGAAAGCCAAAAGGTTAAAAGGTCCGCCCGCTTTGATGCCAAGTGAGCCACCCCCATGCAGAAGATGCATAGTGTGTGGGGAACAAGCGCGCCATATTGCGCATCAAATACAGCGTTCGCTCCACGGTATTTGGATGTACTGCCATGACATCCTCATCCCCCGGACCCTTGTAGATGGGGCATTGAGGCCCCTTGTCTGGCCACACCGTAGAGTTGTATCCTGAACTGAGATGCTCCACACGTTCTCTAGTTGTGCTCACCCTCCAAACTGGCGCAAAATCACCGAAAAGGCCGACCAAACACCAGTCGAGTATCGGCAGGAAGGGTCGGGATCGATGAGGTTGTACTTGGAAGGATACTTCCCCGTGCCGCCCGTCTGGCTCGTCTGCCCGCCGACCAGGCTGTCGCCACCCACTGCCACAAGGGCCCAAAGGCTGAACATCGATCCCGACGCGCGGGTTCGTTCTACGAAGCCCTGCGAGCACGACTGGTTGCGGAATGGGCAACTGCCGGAATAGACGGAACCCAACTAGGTCCTCCAGATTTGAGAGGCTAGAATAAGTTGGTACCCGTTTTTGTTTTGTTTTCCTGGTAGGGGACCCCCCCAAAACAAAAGGATAAAAGGGGGCGATAGCCAAGCACAATGCACTCATTGCCTGCTGAAAGTCAGCAACCTGACAAGAGAAACTCTTTGGTAAGGGTCCGTTATGATGGGTGAGCCATTTGTAACCCCCAGGTACGCTCGCTGTAATTTGCGTGCAGAACCAAGGAACAATCGGGAGGTCCTAAAATTTGCCGAACATGATCATGACAACAGCCATGGCCAAATCAATGTGGGGACAACATCATCACAAGCTCCTGCCCTAGAAGTCATAGAGCTCATCAAAAAGTCGGGGCAGGCCCATCCGCTCGTTTGCCTGCGGAATGACCACCTCCTTTTTATTTGCACATCCCTACTAGCAACAGTCAGAGATACGGTGGACGCCCTAAAATGTGCAAGTGTAGAGAAATCACGGAAACGCTGTAGCTCACCACAATTTACCAGGAATCGGCCGGTCGTTGGACTGCTAAGGCAACATGTTGAGCATCCGTACTTGGATGGTGTGGGAGCTACGTGGTTAGTAGCAATGGATTCAAGTCCAGAGTTAGCAAGGGCGTCTGGGTAGTTCTCCAAATATGGGCCCCCTTAAACTTGGTTGACGTTGGAGGGGGAGCAAAAATCCAAATGTTAGCAGTTAAGTGGGGTTTTCCCACTAAACCACAATAAGCAAAATGTAAAATGCTTCCCAATAGCAACCATGTAAAATTGTTGGTTCCTTGCGGTGCCCCTTTAAATATCAACAAAATTGGCGGGGGGAGTTCACGATATCATCCGTCTGGTCCTGCACACGGAGCAATGGCAAAATGAGGCCGCAGCTGGATCACCGCGGACTTGAGTCACCACTGCCTGCGAAGGAACTGGTAAATTGAAGCTCCTTGGCTCCCGCAAAGGGGCGATCGATTCGGTACGTCAGGTAAGCGGTTAGTAAGCCTGGTGAGATAACCCCCTGAACGGAGACATATCACCTTGGCTTCAGTGGGGTATCTCACCATAGTCATTGCGCACTTACTAAGTACCCTGCCCCTTTAAGTAGGGTCCCTGTATTTCCCCTGTTAACATCACCCGACACCCCGAGAGTAAAGGAAACACTCGAACAAAATCGACGAAAAAGGTGATGTCCAAAAAAACCTAAGGACAGTTTGAAGACCCCAGGGCACCGGAGAAACACAACCCTAATTGTTGGCTTGGTTTCATTCTGACTCTTTGACTAGGTCCTCCAGTGGAGAGGCTAGAATAAGGGTACCAACTTTTTGCTGTAGTCTGTTTTAGTAGGGGAACCCTCCCCCAAAAAAAGGGTAAAAGGGCATTACTGGGCGACCTAGTAGAGGTTAAGGGGTACCTTTCCCACTTGCTTTCAAAAGGAAGAAGGCTTCACCTCGGAAACCGCCTAATCACTAATGCAATCTTAAAAGTGGGCAAGTCGCCCTAATGCAAGGAGCATCAACCGTATTCATGGAACCCAACTTTGGGTTTTTTTCCCTTCAAGTTGGGGTTGTGTTTTGTTGAGGGGACATTTTTCGCCTTGGCAAACCAGCATGTGGGGGTTCTTGGTGTTGACAGGTATCCAATATGCAAGCTACGAAAATCTGAACCCTGGTCAATGGAGCGAAGAAGGCTAAAGCCCCGGATTGCAAAGAGGCCGTCCTAAGAAACTCTAGAATGATGATCCCCAGGTATAAATGCCAACCAACAATGGTTTTCAACCATGCTTTCATTTCGCGGCGCGAACGGATTTCGCAACCACCCACAGAAAGCCTCCTTTTTCAGGGAACCACAGCCCCGCTTACCCCCCAAAAGGAGTCCCCCCCCGGGGTTTGTGGCTGGAACCCTGTCCTTGTTGGGCCTTGTCTCAAAACCATCCGAC